TTGGGCCTCATGCTCTTGTCCCAGTGGAACTTCCCAGCCTGCCGCAGAGTTCAACCCTCTGAAATGGAAACCCCAGCCAGCCCTAGTAGAGGAAAGCGTTGTTTGTAGTTGTGTCCAAAGTTAGCTCAGAGCTCTAAGGGGAGAAGCAAACCCTGTTCACCTTCTTAAGGGCCTGTCTACGCTCAGGGTCTGTCACCCATTTGTGAGCTGCCGACTCTCATGTTGTTCAGAGCCTACGGACAGCGCAACTCCTAAGCATGTGTTTGTTCTGTGCTTAGCCCCTACATAGCAGCGGGGCAGGTCGGTCTTCTGTTACTGAGCTGTGGGGATATGATTAAAAACTCTGTTTACCAAAAGAACAGGAAAAGATGAACATTTTAAACTGAAGAAGAAGGGGGGGAAAAAAGTTAGGAAAGGATAAGGTGGGAGCCTAGATTGTTTCTTCAGATAACCACACAGAGGCTATGTCTAGACTGCAAGCCTCTTTCGAAAGATACTTTCGAAAGAGCCTCTTTCGAAAGAGAGCGTCTAGACTGCACGTTGAACTTTCGAAAAAGTGGCTTGCTTTTTCGAAAGAAAGCATCCAGTGAGTCTGGATGCTCTCTTTCGAAGAAGCCCTATTGACATTCAAGAACGCCTTCTTTCGAAAGAAGCACTTTCCAAAGAAGGCGTTCTTCCTCGTGAAATGAGGTTTACCGCCGTCGAAAGAAAAGCCGCGTTCTTTCGATTTAATTTCGAAAGAACGCGGCTGCAGTCTAGACGCAGGTGAGGTTTTTTCGAAAAAAGGCTACTTTTTTCGAAAAACCCCCTGAGTCTGGACACAGCCAGAGGCAGCAATCTTACCACTAACCTTCCTACAGACACAAATCCAGCTCATTTTTTCCTTTGAAATTTATTTTTTAATGTAAAAACTTTCAGGTGTGGGTTTTATACTATAGCCTGGATTTTAAAACCTTCTTTATCATTTTTGTTCAGTTGGTTTTTTTTGTTTGCTTGTTTTCTGGGCAATTTATTTAGGCATAACTTTTGAATGCAATTTACCTTTTTTTGAAGAGCTCCTTTAAATATTTAGAAAGTGATTTGGAAAGTGATTTAGAAAGTGTCTTTTTACTTTGTTTTATTGTAAAACTTTTCTTTACTTGAGGGGTTTCTATAATATTTCAGTTCCCAGAAACTTATTTCTTCACAATTTCCAGTTCTGGAAACTATTTTGCAAGGTTTTTTTCTTACCATGCATCTTTTAGATAAAAAAATCACTAAAATCCTTATTTAAGTTGTGTCACAGAGATAATAATTATTTAGTCATGAAAATTAAGTAAACTTTGCAATTTCCTGCTCTTGCTATCTCCTTAGGATGTAAAAATCTGCTTACATTTAAAAAAAAATGATTATCCTTGAGCTTTTGTCCCTTGTATTTCAGTTTTCATTGTATTGCATTACACATTCCTTTGCTTCAAAAGGTCACAGCTTTTTAAAAAAGCAGATGAGGGGCTGGAAAGGGCCATGCTATTTCAGTCATGCCCCATCCTCATTTCTCTTCTGCCCACTGTTACTCAACCCTCCAGGTTGAGACCAGACTTTTATCTTTTGAAACTTCAATTTTTGTATTGAAATGCATATGAACAGAAGGGTTTTCTATACCAAGATTTCCTCCTCTTTAAATAAAATGTTATCGTAAGCCCCTTAATTGAGGTTTTATTAGGATTATACTCCAGTATCTAAAGCTTTCTTTCCAATTTACAAGTAGAACACTTTTTGTTTGGGTAGGGCATTTTTGTAGGGATTATTTTAAAAGCTAACACTATTTTTGAATGGATAGGGTGGTGTATAGTAGATTGATAGACTGGTTTTTCATTTCACTAAAAAATGACCAATGCTGTTTTTTTAATGTTAAACTTCTGAAAGTGTATTTGTCAAAACTTTATTTGATTTAACAAAAGCTCGATTTTAAAAAGCTAGGGAAGAAAGAGAGTGTGGGGGAGAAATAGCTTTCCTTTCTCTGGTAAAAGCAATATGTTTATAGATCAGTTTTCATTTAGGCAAAACTTTAAAAGTAAGGCAACATTCTATTTTAAAAGGCTGGTATATTTCTACAAAATCTTGTGTTATGTATAGCATTTGTCTTTTTATCCATTTATGGAGATGCATTTTTAAACAGGCGAACATTCAATAGCTTTGCTTCTTGGCATGTTACAGCTGAGAAAGAAAGAAAGAAAGAAAGAAAGAAAGAAAGAAAGAAAGAAAGAAAGAAAGAAAGAAAGAAAGAAAGAAAGAAAGAAAGAAAGAAAATGAACCTTTTGGTGGCAGCATCTGATTCAAATGGTGAAAATGAACATGTATTAGTCCGCACTACTTTGGACTCTTATCAAGCAAAACCCATCATCATCATAGACACATGTTCTCTGGAATGGTGGTTGAAATATGAAGGGACATCAGTGCCAACAACAGACAGGGAATGCTACTGTATCAGACAACATCTTTCCTGGATCAGAACCATACTGGGTCAGACAGAACCACCCAGGTGTCATATCAGCAACAGCGCAGGGGTGACCCCATCAAAGCAAACCACACGTGCCCCTGCCCTCCCCAGCATTTCTGTGGTGCTGAGGCAAAGAGGAGCCAGGGGAAGCCACTGGCTGGGACAGGACCATGCACTGAGCTCCAGAGGGGTTCAGGGGCAGGAATCCAACTGGGTCGGAGAGAGCAACATCCCATGGGTAGGGGCAGAGAAGGACCCCACTGAGCCAGCAGAATCACCCCCCTTCAAGAACGTGGGCTCCTTAGAGCCAGACAGAACAACTTCTCTCCCCTAGGCTGATGGGTTGGTATCAAGGACTGAGGGATTCCCTGGGCTAGACAGAACCACTTCCCCTTTGGCCCAGTACTGGGATGGCTGAGTCCATGTCAACACTGTCTCCGGGCTCCCAGCATGGACTGCATCCCTGGTCCAACTCCATGTGGGCTGGCCCTGGGCTCTGTCCAGTACCTGCGGGTCCAGGTGGCTCTGGAATGGTGGCACAGCCACAGTAGTACATGAGGGGGGTGGAGATCATGGCCA